TATGTTACAATGTACAATGTACATTGAACACTAAATGCAAACTATACAATAGAATTCTTGACTAATATTTTATTTAAACAAAATTTGTACGTAGAAGCCGCAGCAGAGTTGTATGATATATTGGCGCAAAACATCGTTATTTAGAAAAGTCTTGAAAATATGCAAGCGACTGTAAAACCGGCAGTGCTATAAATTCTCTAGAAAATTGCGCATGAATTACGTTATGTGCATTTTTATTGGTGTTCATATACGACTTTATTGTGTTTCTTATGTTAGAACATCAAATGGATAATGTGTAGCTTACAAATTACAATTCTTTAAGTTATAAGAACCTAAAGAAGAAAACAATAAATTTATTATTTCCATTGTTCAAAATTTTGAGTATTGTTAAATATACTTAAGTACATACATAATATATCTACAATGTACATATACGTAAAATATAAAAATATATAAACACACTTAGCTTGGCTGCATTTTTCACTGCGAGAATATTTTATTTGTACATGTCCATCAGTCGGACGGGAGCGAGCATTTCAACGATTTTACAGCATAAATCTCTAACGTGGTAGCTAAGCTTTTAGCGTCCTTTCATATTCGGTGTAGCGTGTTTTGATATATTTTCACGTGATATTTAATGGCATATGTAATATTTAGTTTTATTTAAAATGTTCTCTATATTTTGTCTGCATCTGAGAGCGTTTTGCTCTAAAAATATTTTTAACATCATTAATTAAAAAAATATCTTATACAATTTAAAAAGAAATTATTTAATTAAAATAATCATAATATAGGTATTATCTATTAACAATGAAAAATGTAAATATTATATTAATAGATGCGAATGAAACAAATGAAAATAAACTTTAAGTATTACAATTACGTATACATGATAAAATTAGATACTTTTATATCAATTTGTATTTTTTATTTAATTGTATTAACTTAAAACTAATGATTCATTAACTTAATATTTAACTTAAAAATGTAATAATATTTGTGTATAACTATTACTATATGTAAGTATGTATAATCTGCCATACGCGCTGTGTGCATTACAGAGTCATGTCCATGTTTTATTTATTCGTCTGCGTCTGGGAAGCGTGCATTAGTGTCGAATTTTCCCCCTGCATAGTACGGGCTTTAAGCGTAAAATAATTTTATATTCTAGCGTATTAATGTTTAGTATTTTAGCCTCAATTATTTATCGATTTGCTTACTGTTAAAATAATCGCTTTTACCGCGCTGTATACTCTCTTAAAGAAAGGTTAATATGGCTATTTTCAATTTCGTATTATCTTAATCATAAACTTCTGTAATGACAATATATGTATATATTTTATAATATGTTGGGCATTAACACACAGCATAATCTAGTCCCCCCCCCCCAGCGAGCGTTCACCTTGCCGTGGTGGGGGGGGCTCAGTAGTGCCCGGCAATACAGCCGGGCGCGAAGCCAAGAAACGCACAGGGAGGTGGCCCACTTCGGTGGGCGGTGGGTGGTGGCCCTCTTCGGAGGGCGGTGTACCATGCGGGTTGCTCCTGGTACTTCTCTGATAGCAGAGTGGACCTTGGAGCAACCCCGTGGTTGTTGTGGTCTGCTTCGGCAGACCTGCCGTCGGGGTGTCGTAGTTGAATGCGTAAGCGATCCTGCGACGCCCCTTTAAGACGGGGGAAGGCTTTGTTGGGTTTTAGTGGGTAGTACTGCCTTTGCCGGTGAGTCTCACACCTCGTGCGTAAATGCATTTCCCAACGTTAAAAAAAAAGCATTATCTAGTGCCATGGTAAGCTACGAGGCTTGTGTTATGGATACCAGATAGTTAATACACTACATATAAATAACATTTAAATACATACGTCATACATATTATAAATATAAACACCAATGACTTGAGTACAAAGATTCGTGCTCATCACACAAATGAATGCCCCTAGCGGGACTCGAACCCGCGATCGCTGGCATACCAAGTAGGGTTACTACAAACTGAGCCAAACGTGTCGTCATATATAATAATATACAATATATATACCTACCTGATTTTACGATAGTTGAACCTATGATGTCTAATTGCTTCTGCTAATGAGATTTGTAGCTACTTAAAAAAGCTAATTCCAAAAGAATAATTGTACACCTATTTTAAAATAATTTTATATATTATGCATCTATAAGTTAGTGTCCACTTAGAGCTTAGACTAAATAGTTTGGGAACTATAAACGTAAATTTGTCAAGGCCATGAATTTTATGTTCATAGTTACAACCTAGTGCGCTAGCTTTCAAGTCTTATCATATTGTCGAGAGAGATAATATTTTTTTTTTGCATTTATTGTTAAACTTTTTTTTCCATAATTTATTAATACTAATTTATACTTCTTACTAGCGGGTGAGTTTCAATTAAGAGATATATAGAGATAGACATATGACATCGTGAACTTTTCTGTAGGCCTATATAAGATACACAATTCCACCATACATTATTTTGTAGTCTCAAAGGTTTTAGGCAGCGTTTCCGTTGAAAGCTCCCAGACGGCTTATTTTTTTCCGACACCTCTAACAAATATCGCTATATTTTAACCAATGTATACAAAAACTTAACAAATTATTTACTTAAACCTTTCTCGGGAACCACTCTATCCATTGGTGAAAACAACATGAAAATCAGTGCAATAGTTTTTGAGTTTATCGCGAACAGACAGACAGACGCGGCGGAGGACTTTGTCTTATAATATGTCAAATAGTTTAAAATAATAATAAATGTAATGCATGTAATCTGCAAACTGATGACTACATAATAATATGTAATCTTGTTATTACTACAAATATAAATACTATTGAATATTATATTTATTTTTTTAGGAATTTAGTTAAAATACACCTATGTTTTTTTGTCATGAACGTAGCACTTTGATATAATAACTTGAAATATAATCGTTTATAATTAATATTTTTTGTATTGATAGTATAAATATCAAAATACCATATTAAAGAAGATTTTAACAGTAAAAGCCATAAAAAGTAATAAATATTTATGACAAATATGATACTTTATGCTATTCTGGACGTTCATTTCATATTAAACAAGTATTAATTACTCTGTAATGGAAATGTGGTATCGGTTACATAATAAAAATGAACCGACAGCAAATTAATTACACTATCAATTAGCATATAAAATTGGATACGTGAAGTAACCACCAACGGAGTGAAATTAAATTAGTAGTATTAAGGTAATTCGATGAAATTGTAATAAGCGGGTGCTTTTTGATCCCTGGATAAATTGTGAAAGGCGGATGGCACCCCACTGGACGTTACATGGATGCATGGTTGTACTAAAAGAGAATTATAATAAGTTTATTAATAAAAGAATTATTTATATTTTTATTGCATTTTTAGGGTTTGTTGGTTGTTTGGCAAAGTTGGATTTACCTCTAAGTAAGATTTCTTCCAGTCAACTTGAAATTGACAAACAGCCCTTTTTATTTACAGGCCAATTTCGCCCTTTTCTTGTTTTCTTAAACGTGAGTTATCTAGTAGCGATTGTTACTAAACGTTGTTGATATTGAGTTCATAATATTATATATTAGATTTAGTCTAATATTAGAGCTTCCAACGCTTCTCGCATTTTAGCTCAATCCTTGCATATAATTTTAATCGATCTAAAACATAACATCCGAATGGATCTATAATAGAATCAAACCTGTAACAGAAGTATACTGGTATATAGTACACATAATGACGATCGTAAAATTTTAAATGGGCTTATGCCATTTCACTGAAGTTAATAGAAACTCGATGAAGGAAAAACTTTACGACAAACTAACAACACTGGTTAAAACAATTAAAACATAATGAATATTTTTTTTCCGAATGAGGAAGTTTTAAATTCGAGCCCTAAAAACATATATTTATTTGTATTTATCCTTTTAAGACATACGAGATTTATGTTGTTTTTGGGTCGTTTCGGATTTATATACGCAAAAAAAAAACCAACAGATATTTAAAAATTCAAATATTCACGTAAATCTAAGAAAGCATTGCATAATTAAGTACTTTGTTACAGTTCATAGCACAAAGTATAAGAGCTAAGACACTTGAAATAAGGCAGTTTGTTAACAGTTAAAACTTCCTTGCCTGATATGATAGCATTTCCGATGATGTTTTTTCTAGAAAACTACATATATTGAACCATCCTCTATTTGTGAAAACATCCAATATTTAACATGCACATAAACGTACACTCGAGTTAAGAATATTTTCGTTTTTTGAGGTCGGTAAATACGGTACCGTCTAGATATTTTACATCCCTAGCCGACATCTCCGGGGCGCCGTGGCCGTGGGCTAAGCTAATTAGGCCCCCTGCTCTGTCAATGTTGTGCACGCGGCCTGGTTTAATACGTGTGTCTCCATTAGCCGCCCTCAGTTTAAACACTCTGTGTACACTAGCAATGACAATTCGCTAAAATTGATTTGTGTCTGAGGGGCCTTGATGTCTATTTGCGGACATACGGTGTTTATTTTGTTTCTCTTATTTAATAATGCTACATGTAACTTTCGTTTTATTTTTATATTTGGTGAAGTGACAATGTTAATTAAATCTTGTTAGAATATTTCGTCTCAACTCTTTGTAATAAAATAATAAAAAATGTCTTTAATTAAAGTACAGTTTGTTAGGTAGTTCTAAATCTTTGCATAATTATATTATTTCATAAAGTTTGTTGTAATTCGTTTATATGTAAAAAGGGTTAAATTAAAATAAAATGAATTTTCCATATTAATTATTATATTTTCATTATACTTAAAGCTTCTACATGGTAATGACTTTTTTATTGACTGACACTATAACTGGATTTTGTGTTAAATGGTAAATCTTATTAAATCTCATCACATTTTTACTTTGAAAATATTATTAGCTTAACAATCACTCAGCTAATTAAATAATTTCTTAAGCCTCATCTGTGTTTATTTTGAAAGCTAGCAACTGACTTAGTAAGTTTATATTTATTTATCTTTCGTAAATATAAGTATAAGATAATTTAGGCCCACTCCCCTCTCGCTCTTAAAGTGCAAAGTGACGTGTGTTTCGCCCACGCCGCCAGCCGCCACCGTCACCTCTGCATCTGTCCGTGAGAGGTCACGGGCTATGATGCCCTGGGATAATAAGAATTGTTTATTAAAATATAAAGGTATATATTTTTATAATATCGTTTATTTTAAATCAAGAAACATTATTATGCGGTATAATATTTTAATAATTTTTGTTTTTTTTATAAGTAGGTATATTTTATATTTATATATTCATGACAGGTTTTGACGAATGAATTCGATAATTTTTGCATCAAATTTTCTATAATTCGATATTTTAATATTATATTTAAAAGTATTATAGAGTAATGTTAAAAATCTAAACGAATTGTATAAATAATAGAATCCAGCGTAATTGAATTGAATTAATAATTTTTCTATTAGAACTTATCAAACATAATAGTAAAAAATATACAAAAATAATTCAAATTATAAGTACCTTAATAACTCTTTGTTTTGGATCCTGATAGGTGTAATCCTTGTCCCTTCTTATCAAGGGTATTGCTTTGTAAACCACTTTGTCAGTCAATATCAACAAATTATTCACTCGAGTACCATCCACGAAGTCCTTAGCCTCAAATAAATGCACACACAACACAAATATTATTAGTATTAACGTAATTTTTTTCATTTTGCCTATTTATTTATATTATACATAACTTCAAAAATAATTAATTAAAGATTATTATGTGATTCTCCTTCAAGATTGCGATTATAACTGAGTTCTGAGTCACTTATCGGTTGTTTAAGGAAAAACAAATGAACGTGTTTAACCTTGTCTCAGATATATGTTCATAGTAATGTGACGTGTCAAGTTATTACGTAATTTTTATACCCATTTTAATGCATATCTTTACTTATTTAGTTATTTTCTTTTACGCTAGTGCTATTTAGTAAAGTGGTTCGTGGGCTTTAATTTTATGTTTCGTTTTGGTATTAAAGATATTTAAAACTGAACTTTATAAATGATTTTTAACACAATAAACTAAAATCTACTACACATATACCTATTATAATAATGTTATTTGAAATCCTGTAACTATGAAACATAGATTATAAAATGTTGCAAATTAAATTGCTGCAAATTAAATAACTAGAAATTAATAGAAAAAAGAAGAAATTACTTGAAAAAAAAAAAACTCATTTTGTGCAATATAAAAAAGGCATAATTTATTTTATTCATAATAAGAGTAATAAGTATACATTTTCTCTGCACATGTAACACGCTCATTATGCTAAGTGTAAAATCCAAAGTATTTCTATTACAAAATAATAAATCCCAGTTAGGCTAACTAAATGTAATACCGACTAAAATATATATTATTAATTCAAATACACGAATAAATTAAAAATGTAATGTTAAAATGCTAATAGCAGGCAGTTTACATTTCCTTCAACACTATTAGTTACCTTTGCTTAACCACGTCACGTCGCGAAGATTAACTGCGCTCATCTATTGACTTCCTCACACCGCATTTTAAATAAATTACTCAACTACTATCGAGTAGATAAATATTTTTTATATAATTTTATATTACTTAATATTATTTATTTAATGTGGGCGGCTCTGTCTACTATACTTAGTTCACCTAGGTATATCTAAGTATATCTCCGGCAAAGCTTTCCGTAAAGTTGGATGAGGTAAACGAGCTTACACTGCTTAAATGCTGATTATTGCCAGTATAGATGTACATTGTCTTGCTTAATATTATCTTATTATGTAGTCTTATTTTATAAATGTAATATTATTTGGGTAGATATAATCAGCGAAATACGTATCCTTTTACAAAATTTTACTTTATTTGACGTTATTATTATACAACAAACATTATTCAAGACTTCAAAACAAGCAACTTGTTAGTTTCAGCATATTCGATTAATAAAAGTCTATCCAAGTTTTATAGTAACGTCAGGAGCTCAGTGCTTGAGACCAGGCATTATTAATGCAGTGCCGCTGGCGACAGACGGTCAGCCGAGCTACCGGAGCCACAGTAGATGAATGATCTTTGTAAAATGCACCTTTAATATTTATGGTTATTTGAATTGAAAAATATCCCATAAACACATGGTTTACCTATTGCACGGAGGTTGAGATATGAAATTTATGTTATCAAATTACGTCTTACTATCCGTGCCCCGCGGTATCACCCGCGTTAAATTTTATTATAAGTACATATATGCTTGTCTCATATACCTACTCTTTACACGAGGAGTACTTGACCAAGTGCATATTTCTATGAAAGCTTAAAAAAAGCACGTAAACATATTATAAACATCAGTTTTACAATAATGTATGGAAGTCTGCCCGATTTGTTGACATTTATAATTACTGCTCCGCTCTCATCGGTAGTTTAGCATGATGATATAATATAACCTACAACCTTTCTCAATAAATTGAATATCTAACGCAAAAAAAAATTTCAAATCGGATTAGTAGTTCCTGAGATAAGCGCTTTCAAACAAACAAACTCTGCCTCTTTTTAATATTAGTATAGATTATGGCGCAGAAAATGTTCAATATCCAAACTAAAAAGAAAAGTAAATAGACTAAAATTTTAATTATTTAGATAAACCAATTACTGAATATCTAAAATACGATTATAAACATAACGAAATAACTAACGAAATCATAGCATATAAGTACATAACAAAAGCTCATGATCATTCAACACATTATTTAAGCTCGCTTTTGTATAATTGACACGCTCTTTACGCGTATTAATATAATTAGTGAATTAATATAATTAGAATTAAAACAAAGTAGACTGTAACAAATGACAAAACATCAGATCATCGCATTTTGCCGTAGCGCTGACATTTAATAAGCGTTATTGTGAGCAATAAACATTTGCAAATGTCGCTAATGAGTACCATCATTTATTTTATTGTCGGTACAAAGGTATTAGTTTTAGAGCCATAGTCTTAAAATCATTCAATGAATAATGGTTGCACGAATGAAGACATAAATTTCTATGAGCGGACAGTACAAGAATGTAAAATCGATTAACACTTTCATGACGACTAATGTTTAACTACTGCATTGTATTCATACTTATACATACTCGAAGATAGACTTTACTTAGAACTCCTGATGGTTTTATGTCTGATAATAAACGTAGGCCAAAACAATTTTCTCTGCAGCTTTAAAGTACAGAGATGGTTCTCTTTTTGTGATAAATTTATGTGGTGGGTTTCGAAAAGCATTGTATCTGCAACAGATTGGACGGTGTAAATGTTGTAATAAATTCGCGGTTTCGCATGTTTGCTCTCGAGGACATTTAGCTGGATGTTATTCCAGGCCGCCGCGTCACACGCTTTGATCTTCTACCGACTTTTTGCTGAGCACTTGTTTTGTACGACGACAAATAACTCAAACAGGAACGCGACTTTTTTTGATTTTATCAGTCGAGTACAACGTGTTTTAGAGATTTAAATGCGTACTTCATCATTAGTGAGATCATCTGACGATCGCAGGATGTTTGAAAGAGATATGGAATTCCTTACAGACGTTTTAACACTTATATTTTAGTGCCTTATTTCCATTCTCTGAGATAATAATACTTGTCATGTCTTTCTTTTTGAACTCATTTTACTTGACTTGTAAAGGAATGGAAATTATTATTATTTTAAACGCGGTAATGAATGACACTTCCGTTTTATTTCAGAGCATGCAAAATTAAATATTAATGTTAAAAATGTGAGTATATACGCCCTAAAATTAACTTAATTTCATACGTTTCGATGTGCCCTTAGATTCTTTTATATTGATGTTAAGTGTATTAGCGTTAAAATAAATTAAACTCATTCAGCGTATCACTGCACACGCAATGTACACGTAATTGAGTCAAACGGGCCCATGAGCTAAACTAAACGAATCATGCCAGACGATTCTCAAAACAATGCAATGTATATAACTAAACTCTTATTGCTATAATTATAAAGGTTATAGTCCATCAGTTATTATTCTATATGTGTGGTCGGTGATACAGGCGAATTGATATTTCCTCTTTCCGACGAATAGTTAATTGCATTTCCGGGGGTCTCTCATTGTTTGAGAGCTGATCGCTGGACGTGATGCATTAGCGTCGAATTGTCAAATTACAACAGGATTTGATACTTTATCCATTTAATTTTATAGAGGCCTTTATAATAATGCACTATGAATAAAAACCGTATACAGTCTATGATTTACAGTAAAAAAAAGATATAACAAAGAATTATTTTATTTCAAATTGCTATGCTGACTTACGTATAATAGTCAAGGCAACGTCGCATATTCAATTATATAATTATTATTCGCATTCTAGAAAATGAATACCGCATAAATAAAAAAAACATAGTTGTCTATTGATTAATAATTTTATCAGCAACGTAATAAGCGTCAGCTAACACACCCGCGAAGCGCGGTGGATTGCGCGCATCACGTTTATGACGCTAACAGTTTTTGAAGATTTTATTATTATTTAAAAAATACAACAATCTAATTATTGTGTAAGTTTCGTGCATTATAAAATGACTTAATAAACAAAAAAAAAGAATATGAACTGAGACTGACATATAATCTTCATTGAAGCTGATTATTCTTTTGTTCAGAATTAAAAGCGTTAGAAAAAGATCCAAAATAAATAAGTGAAAAAAATCCGGAAGCAGAATTTTATTTAACTAGAAACGTTGAAAATCAAAATTCAAAATAAGTCCACGAAAAAAGGCTTAGTCCCTTATTGTAAATTTTAATTTATTATAATAAGGTGAGCAAGGTAAGAACATATGTTAAATATGTAAGCTCAATAAGAACTGAAGGAATATAGAAGTAAATAAAGCAGAAACTTTAAGAATCAACTAAGTAGTTTAAATTAAACCTATTAACACCACAAATACTAAAAAAATAACAGTTATGTCTTTTAACATGTTTAAGCAACTAGTTAAAATTACTGTAAAAATAGGGTCATATAATATTACGACATGAAACTATAATAGCAGGGTTCAGTGACATTGAGTGACGTGCTTAATCTTTTTTCCTGACAGTGTGACGCGAGGAAGGCTTTGTTTTGCACGTCTCCGGAGCCACTGAATAGTCATACAACTTAGACAAAGTATAGCTCATGTTTTCCCTTATATTCATATTTTTAGTTTAACTAAGAAATCTTGAAAATACTCTTAGAAAAGGTTTTATTGTAGCTATAAAATTGTGCAATTGTTATTAGATAATGGGAGACAGGAAGATTACAATGTAATATCTAAATAATCAAATATCATCTACAGAAAGTACACACATTACACAGTTTATAGGTTTTAATGTATTAATAAAGAAATAAGAAAAAAATACTTATAAAATATATTAAATTTTAATATTTCCTCAAATAACAAAACGTTTTTCAACAAAGTAGAACAGATTTTTCTTTTTCAGCGTAACAATGACGTGCTGAGAGACAAACATTTGATCTAATAGTAAGGTCACCTAGATTCTTCGCAACATGGTGCAAGCGCTCTAAAAAACTGGAGCATTGTATATTTTAAGGTCGGATATTAAAATGCAAAGCTTTTAGTCTTTTTGATCACTTTCATGCAGATTGTTATTATTTAAATGGGTCGAGTGGCAAGTAAAATGCTTAAAATCTAACGAACTTTTTG